TCTGCTATAAAACTCATACAACCAACCTTCATAGAAGTTTAGTAACTTATGTTTAGTGTCCGAATATTCTTTGAGTCGTAAAGTATTTAATATTATATAAACGTACCTATAATCTGTTTTTTTTTTTTTTTGCTCAACACCTTTTTGGATCGTTAGGTGTATATATGTACGGTTTTTTTGTTAAAATATGCAATCATATGCAAAATATCCACTTACATCAGAATATACAAAAATATGCAGTATAAAATTTAGATATTTAATCAATCAATTAATAATTTGTGGATATTTATTGACTGCATGTTTATGATGTTGAAAATAGCAACACGCATTTTATACAAAATCCGATCTTTAATTATGACTATGTATGAGTATTTTTAATTTCTCTATCCCCTTAGGTGTTTAGTTATCTTTTTTTTTCTAACATATTTTATAAAGTCACAAAATATTGTAAATATGAAATTCTATTACGATACTTTTCCAAATTAGCAAACATCTAAGTATTTATATCAATGTGAAATTTGTGGTCATTATTTTTATTGATTTGTAATTAAAATTAATTGTATGTATTTTTAAAAGTAAAGGGTGTTTGTGAAGTTTCTAGAAATAAACTAAAATATTCAATGGAACGTCGCCTTACCTTTTAAAACAATAAATTATTATTTCGATTATCTAAAAATGTATTACAAAAGGCCTCAATATTACTTTCTTTTTTTTAAACTACATTTTATTCAATATTGTAATAGGATAACAAATACCATATTATAAAAAGATTTATGCAGGTACCTATAAATATGATATTAGTAGATTTTCTATCAAAATAAGTTCATTGCAAAATATTATGTATTAAAGACAACAGTAAAAGTATAAAATAATCAAATTGTAAAAAATCAATAATTCTATATAATTTTCGATTAATGTACGTGTGTTTTGGACTTTATTTTTTGTATCATCATACATTTTCCATTTACAATTTTCTCTGAAAGCAGAAACTGTCCCATGTAATTTTGCTATCCTTTACTGTATCCACTGTAGAAACTTACTACTCCTTTTAATTTGAACGTTTTATCTCCAACTTCTACACATTTCTCTAAATCATCTAGTTTTGCTGTTATTAGTCGTGTAAAGTTTTGTTTTACTAAAACTAAATAAAGTGGAACACTCAATATTTACAAAGCTAGTTAATACTTCTAGATTTAAATAAAACTTGATGCTAACGTAGTTTATTCTTCAAATCCATAACATTGTCTCATATTTATCAACCAATAAGGAATAGTTTAAATATTCTTTTAATGATAGGCTTAAGTACAAGTAGATATTGTACAATATCAGAAATTCTCTTCACTTCTTTAACTTTAGATCTAGATTTGTAAGCTATACTTTGTACCGAATTCCTGAAAGTTGTATTGGTGTTATATACATTTTCATCATCAGTATTTTAATATTCATTAATGCTACACTTTATATTATTGGGATCTTGTTCATAACATTCATCAAATTCTACTAAATCTATAATACTAGTTATTACTAATAACTGTAAATAACACTTGGTTTTATAACAAAGTACCCACATATCTGTTCGCTCTGAGTTATGATAAAAAATAATGTATAAGAAGGTGAATAGTAATATTAACCTAATATATTATATATTATATTACCTTTTCCTATAGAAAGAAGTATTTTTATGAGATCGTGAATTCTCTAATTAAAACAATTATGTTTATTTAAGAAGAACACAATTGTTCCTTTAATAAGTAAACCTTGCCAATTACATAAAAATCAGGATAAACGATTAAGTTTCCAACATTAGACAAATAGTATTATAAAATAATGTATTACCTGTCACGAACAGTGAGTTTATATTCACTCTACAATACACCGAGGATGAATACCCTTAGAGCTTTAGGAATGTAGAAGAAAAACAACAATTATACACGGAGTATTTGAAATTATTTTACACTTTGTTTTGATTAAGTCGTTGACAAAAAATTAAAACAATTTTAGCATATGGACTAAATATCGCCATAACTTTGAGAATCTTAAGCCTTATGGCAACGAACAGTGTGTATGCCAGTGAACGCTGAAAGACTGGGCCCAATGTGCCATCTCAAGGGCGTTCTGAATTATTTTTTCAAAGCTGCAATCGTTACATTGTTTATTTAAGATAATCTTATAACTATTATTATTATTAATTTTAATATAAATAGTACATTTGTGTAAAATAATTATATCGTTGTACTTAGTACCCGTTAATAAAAGGATATTTATTTTATAATAACATTTTGATAACTTAATGGCTATTAAGTATTATTTACTTAATTAATATAAATATTTAGCAAAGTAAATATATACATATATATATAGATAGATATATATAATGACAATGTTCTCATCAAAGTTACTTAAAAGTATATCGAATAATGCTTTTAATATCTTTTCAGAGTTTTTAATTGATGGATTTCAAATTAAAATGTTGGAATTTATTTTGTGGAATTTTGTATTTTAATTTTAAAAAAATTAATTTTTTTGGTATAGAATCTAAAAAAAAACTTAGCTTACAAACTTATATATTTTAAACATAAAAAATAATTCTAAATTCAAAAGTTTTACCTAATGCATTTTATTGTTAGTCATAAATTTATTTTTATAAGTGATTTTATAATGGATCGTTTTTAAATGTTCTAGATTATACAAAAAAGCTCGTTAAGATATTAGCGCGGTGTAATAAAATATTTGATATCCAAAGTTAGTTATATTGAAAAATGAAAATACTATACGTATTTTCCTACGCCTAACAATTATCGAATAATAAAAATCGTTTATTATTAAATTAAGGTTATATACTTTGATGGTATTCTTACGACATTGACATTTAATTCTTTAAGATAACATAGTGAGTAATGTGTTAAACAGTAAAATACCTGCAAAGAATACTAATTAATGTTTCAAGGTCCAAAATCCGGATTTCTGATTCAAAATTCTGAGAATTTGGATTTTTAAACCCCTATCAATAGGTATCACCATATCATTAAACGGTGTAAATAATAAATTAAATAGGCAAATAGAATAAATAGGCCATAGTTTAAAATGAATCTAAATGTTTTGAAAATCTGTATATTTTTATATAATATATAAAAATATGAAAGGGTTAAAAATTATTTAAATCAAATTTCTCTAAAAAATATACTTGAATTGCACCAAAAAAAAATAAAATTCTTATTATTCGTATTAATATATATATAATATTATTTCATCCAAATTTTAACTTAATATTATGCCTATAAAATAAAATTGTGCTTATATATTTTTTTGAATTTTTGTTCCCAGTGTAAAATACTTATGAAGAATTTTATAATAAATTTTGAAATCTATATGTAAGCTATAATAGTTGAAGATTTTAAAAGTTGTTTACTACATTTAGTGATTTTGAAATATTTTGACAAAATTTAAACTTCACAAAAAATGAACAGAAATTGTTTGAAATTAATTTAATATTTTGATTTTTCTGTAAAAACAGTTGATGTGAAATTTTTAATACAATTTCAAGATTTTTGATTGGGTAAAAATATTTTGATTGACATAAATTGAAAAAAAAAAATTAGAAAATTGAAAGTTCTTCATGCCTAGAATAGTTTAAAAATAGTCAAAATGTTTTTTTGAAGTTATCGTGCATAGAAAATGCTAATATTAACGTTCATTGAGAATTTACATAAAAACAATATAAATTATATAATTATTGAAACTACTTTTTTTTAAAACTAATTTAAATTAAATAATTTAAAAAAAAAATGAAGTCACTCACCCAGCATTGCTTACATTATCATTAAGTGTAATAATGGAAAATCGTACATAATAATCGAAAAATTCTAATCAAATTGTGATATGACATAAATTTATTTAGAAATATATCATGAAAATAGTAACTACGGATGCTGGAGTAATGTTACGCAGACATTTAATATAAAATATTGATTTTCCACTGATAAAGGGGCGTACACATTTTGAGAATATGATTATAAATTTATACAAATTATATAAAAAATATTGGTACGGGTTTTGAATATATTTTTCAACCTGCGTAATACACCTCTAAAGCAGCTCCATACTCCATCTACAGAGTATAAAAATTGCTTGAATTCGGTTTACTTCATATTTTGTAGTAGTTGCATACATATTCGATTCAATCCAATTCAGGATTCATGGTTTACATGATATTATAATAGTAGTATTAAAACACCATCCAACGAGTTAGAAAAAAACTACACTACTTTTTTTAAACAAGAAACCGTTTGGTAAATAAATTTACTGGACTTATTTGTGGCTCGCGGCTAGGACTAGGAATAGAGGTATACATAGGTATTTACAATGTTTTATAATATACGATATGGTTCAACGTCCAACTGAAATAATAATAACGTACATACCCGAAGGCGTAGTAAACACACCATTGCTCGTATAAAAAAATCTAATTTTACGACCGCGGAACAACATCTGAAAACACAATTACCCACACAATAATATCATCTTATATAATATACAAATGTGTTCTTCTACAAAAAGTAATTTATATTCTTTAAAATAAAACTGACTTAGGTGTACATTGTGACATTAAATTATACATTTGAAATCAACTCACCTAAAATACATAGGTAGATAATATAATTGTATGTATGCTCAGAATTTTTCCTCAATCAGATAGAAAACATGGAAAACATCTTCATTGATGTTATCATATTTTTAATTCCAGTAAAAAAATCCGACATCAACATTTTAATTACAAATTCTTGACGTTTATTACACGTAATGTATGTATAATTAATATACAATGTATTCAAAGGTGATAGTATATATAGGTAAATCTATATACACCCATTATACATAGGTATTACATTATATAAAAAATATGAATATATAATTATAGTAGATAAAATAAATAGTGAACTTCATTAAACGTATAAATATAAAAATTGTAAAACTAACAAAAATGAAAAAAAAAAAAATACATATTTATTATTCATATAATATATACTATAATATACTATATAGATAGTCATACTTTAATACTTTATGATAATTTTGATCTTTCTGTGGTATAATTTTGCTGGTCCACGCTTATGTACATATCGTACGAATAAGCAAACAAAAAAAAAAAAATAACATCACAAAAAGTGTTAAATAGGAAAAGGATACAGTTATATAATTATAAATAATAGTATACAGTCGTATAAAAATATAAACAAAACGTTTTGTACCATATTAAATAATTTATGTGTATACGTATTTCTGTAATACTATATTAGTCTTGTTCACGTGTTGTTAGTATATAACTTTTTGTACTTCGATACTGTTTATCAATGTAATATATAAATGACGAAAAAGTTTTTAACATAAAATTAAAACTAAAACTACCTAATACGTGTAATGAAAAAACACCTTCGGATTTCTATTGAAACTAGGTTTTAAAACGAAAAAGTAAATAAATAAGTCGTCCCGACAATATTTTAATAATATATAACGCGTACGAAAACATTATAAAGACATAATTTGAACACCGATCGGGACAGTGATGATGATGATGATGATGATGATAATGGTTAGGATTACGATGATGCCGGATCGTTCTGGAATATCCAAACCGACAGTCATCGCATCCATCAGTTTTCGGCTTTTTTCGCGATTTCGCGCACCACTTCTCTGTAAATGATCGGGTCGATATTTTTGCCCAGCATGTACAGCACCCACCAGTCACCCAACGATAGTTTGTTCGTAACGGCTTTGGCGACGTCGTCGGTTATCAACCTGTAGTGGCGGTACCGCAACGCGTTCTTCCTTGCGGTCGTGTTGTACATGATCAACACCCTATAAAGAGAAAAAAAAATCAAAACCAAAAAAATAAGTATATGTATTTAACCACATCAACCGATCGTTGTTTATTGACTGGTCGGGTTGTCGCGGGTATAGGCGTATATCGTATATTATACGATTTTATACTCTATATATATATATATATATATATAGAAAGACCGCGAGGTCTGAGGTGTTTTCCATATTATATACTTCGTTTCGGCCGTCGAACCCCGCGAGACGGGTTTTAACGCGAGCGCGCGTGAGAAACCGTCGAGATTTAAACTAAAAAAAAATATACTCGCCCGAACAGATTTCTCATACGAACCGCTCTTATATACATCGTGATAATATATATATTATCATTATTATTATAGCCTTAGCGCGTCGATCGAGCTGGTGCTGATGCGGCGGTAATCGATCGCGTACCAATATATTAATATAATTATTATTATGCAACGTGTAATATGTGCAGTGTTATTGGGGCCTGCGATTCTTATACACTAATATCCATGCTGGCTTAGAAATCCAATAGAAAATATTGAAGAGAACATTTAAAATAGATTTTGTAAGAGTTGTACGCTGAATATGGCTATTCTAAAAATTATAGAAACAACGAAGTGCATAAAAATTTAAAAAACGGTAAAAATATAGTAGGTAGTATAATGATAATGTACATTCCGACTACGCTCATTAATGTTGCTGTCCCATCGTATTGTAGCTATTTTTATTTTTTACGGATAGAGTTAAAATGTTAGATACATATCAAAACAATATCATTACTTTTTAACAATTTGAAACTATTACAAGAAATTTACGGAGTTTTACAATTATAGTTCATGATAATATACGTAGTTATGTGTGTATATATTTTATTCTCAAGCAGATTATAAACAATCTCATAATACGCAATGCCAAACTCGGTATTTTTAAGTAATAATTTTTATAACTCTAACACAACTTAACCTTAAACTAACCACCTAACTCGATGGCCGGTACCATTGGTTAAAAATGTAATCAATTTTATTCTTGCATATTTATACATAAACATAAATACTATTGATGTGTTACAATGTAACGGTGTTAGTAACTTCAGAAGTGCAGGTTATATTTGTATAACATTATTGAGAATACTTGAGCTGAGAAGTGTAAAATATATATATATATATAACAACGTACATTAAATTCACTACATAATATACTGTCAATTAAATTTATTAAAACAATTTATCTGGTTTTGCCATTTATAGACATACCAACGATACGATAGTTAACGTATTGAAGTCTAGTTCATATTACTGTAATATTATATACAGTTCATAATGTTTAGCTGATATATTTTTACTTTAACTTTGTAACAAACTTTTTTTATCAAATCAATAGACAATGGTATACGATAATCATACACAAATAATATATATATATTAATAAAAAGATTTGAAACATTTTGAATTATTTGAAGTACTTTTTATTTTAATATGGTTAAAAAAACATTTATTTAGAGTGTATTTGAGTTATGATTTATTTTTTTATTTTTATACCATTCAATTAATATATACCTACTTAAAAAATAAATGTAGAATATTTATAAAATTTTAAAACTGCCTAGCTGACTTGTATTAGTTGTTTCAAATCACAACCATAGGTACTAATGGTGATGTAAATTTCTATTAAATTATAATATTATATATTTCATTGTGACGCGCACTTTTTTATAATATTGTCATCAAAATAATGTAAGATTTTTACTGTAAGTACCTGTGACAGAGCATTAGGACCAATGCCATCAACAGCAGTAGATACCAAAACCATATGAATATATAAGTTTTTTCGTTTACGATGTTTAGTGGTAACACACACAGCGAATCATGCTTTTGTACAGTTCCTGAGGGTCCAAACTTGTGGAATGTACACTTGGTTACCCTGGGAAATATGAAGACCATTGGGTCTACCCGATTGTCCTGATGTTCGGTGGACATGCCAATGACTCGCAGTCCATATGTAATGAACTCTCCGCCAAAAAATTTGTTCATCCAGTATATCTGCAGCACAATATTTGCCAAGCACATGAACTCACACATCCAATACTTGACGGCATACCAGGTGTGTTTCTGAAAAAATATACATTTTTATAAATTTTCCAATTTTTTAAAACATTTTATTTATTATCTGAATAGATTTTATAAAGAAATTAATAAGTAGAAACTTAATTACATTAATATTTTAATACAATTTGTATATTTTTGACATTTTTATCTGTAATTAAACTCGAACTTTATGTGATAAGTGGATATTATTTTCTACTCACAATTATGGATAGACAATGGTTTTATGGACGCACGGACAATTCATACATATTAATTTCTATATAATGACCAAAATAATACTTAATTAAAAATATATATTGCATACAATATATCATTATATATAATATGTTGTAGTGGAACCACATATCTACAACTTGAATAAACAGACATTACTAAAACGACCTAAATGCAATTTAATACCAGTCTATAGTTATTGAATATTACATAGTCTTTAAATAGTTAAGGTATATATATATATACATTATGCAAGTGATTAAGAGCATAATAATTATTATTATCTACCTAATATTTACTGTAGTATAAATCAATCATTAACAAGGCTACATCTATAAATTTTTTTCTTGAGAAAGTGAGTCCAAAATATATATTTTAGACAATACTAATAGTTTTGACATTCTATTAAAAATATGACAAAACAAAAGATTTATTATGACTATCTATGACTGCAAATATTTATGTAGTGAATGTTAAAAAATATTATGAACAGTTGCAGGATGTTTAAGGAATTTTGGGGTATTCAAATCCCATTGCATGTAGCATGTGTGTTAAGATTATATATACTTATTATTTTATATTTGGTTATACATAAAGTTTGGTAATACATTAAGCATAGTACTATACTACTATATAAAGTTAATTTATCAGTTTTTTCGGTATTTTCCTAAAGTGCAATGAACCCCCTGAGAACATTTTTCACCAGGAATTACTTTCAAAAACGATAATTAATGAAATACAACTTATGATTTTTTCAAATTTATTACTAATAAATCGTTCTTTATCAACACGAGCCACCGAATGTAAAAGAACCGAGTACATGCTTATATCGTGTTAAAACCAAAACCGTAGTATAGTGTCCAAATCGCAAATGGTTGTAAAAGAAACATTCGTAGAGCAATTAAACTGAAAACAAAAGAATTGTGTCATACACTGTTGTCTTTCAATCGTACAACGTTGACTGTTCGGGGAACAATACTAACAACTCGTTAGTAACGTACAGAAAAAAAAATCAAAGCAAGTTGTTTTAAGCGTTTGTGTGACAAAACAAAAAAAATCTACACACATGTCTAACCGCTTTAATTTTATAAAGCCTAAGTATATACAATTTAGATTGTTTGAAACGTGTAAAAGTATACTTTTATTCGTATTAACTGCGTGCGCAGAATGCAAATCACAGAAAACGAACAATTGGTCGATGAATGCCGATGTAAAAAATTCCACACGTTAACCAACTAAACAATGTACACGAGAATTATATTTTTTTCTAATAACTCACTGTTACGAATATACCTTCTAATATACAAATTTCTATGACTTGTCAGTATATATACGTGAAAATATAATATGCATTGTTTTAGGCTCTTTCTAGGCGTCATCGTATGCCTATATTATTTACATCTCTCATTTTATACGCCGTATACGCTGGAGATTAGGACGAGATACATTTTGGACGGCGGCCTCTTAAATTTCAACAAGAATGCCTGCTGTAATGCCTATAGGGAATCATATTATTAGTGACTGAAATTATAGTGCTTAGAAACTTGAATACGCGACACACTGTACACAAGCTCTTATCAATGTCTAAACCACACTTATGGGCATATATTATAAACATAATAAGTAATATGTGTCGTACGCGTTTGTGTTCTCGTGATTTCTGTATAATTATCGTGTTGATGTACTGTTACAAGTAATTGCTGGTGTATAGGTATACCACTATATATCATAATCGTTATGTTAAACGTTAGGTAGGCGTTCGTAAAAAATACATAATATCTCTAGGTACGTATATTATACAATACCTACATCTTCACAGTTTCGTCGGTTTGAATACTTGAATAACATCTACGCAGCACCTCGTATAATATAATACGCGTGGAAACACACGTTATCACAGAGTATACATATTTTCTACGCTCAATATTATTTTAATATTATAGTACGAGTAGATCGAACAAATAAAATGGTGTATCGGCAGTGTGATGTGTTTTTATAATGACCTTTAAATTATGACGATTATTCAATCGGTAATAACATTGGAGAGGTTAAAGTTCGCGTAGATCACCGCTTTATTAATTAAACATTAATGACGAAATATCTAAACAATACATTAGATGTATGGCATTATATTAATTGTATTATTATTTTCATAATAGCCTGCTGGTCTCTGTATGTTTGAAAATACACTTAGTATCGACTTCTTATGAGTTATGACGCATACTTAAGATTCAAAACACTTAGAAAAAGTAATTTCGATGTCACATGAACATTAAAAATCAATTCTGTCGAGCATTTAATCGCTGAACTCGATAATGAACAGCGTCGAGATATGTTTACATGTACATATTTCGATGAGAAATCTGATGTAATTAAATAAGTAAAAACAAAAATACAAATCCCAGACACTGCCGAATGGAAAACGACAAGCGATGACAAATATTATTTACCGTATTTTTGGGTATAAAAATGCATAATATAACTGTTTTTTTTTTTTAATGTTTATTATTATGAAAAATATGGATTTCATGTTTTATATTAATACGCATAATATTTCAACATGATACTTATTTATTTATTTTCGTAGCTTTTCACATTAATTATTTGTTTTTATATTTTTTTGATGATGTTCTACTATAAAAGGTGTATGTTTCATAAAATCATTTTAATTTAATTTTATTTTTTTTTTGTGAACATTATCAATATATTAAATTTATTGTTTATACATTTTAATCAAAAAAATATTAAAATTGCATAATCACCAATTCTAAATAGACTTCTTTCCTTTTAATATTTTAATAATTATTTGTAGTTATATTATTGTTTTGTTTAATTAAACCACATATATGTAAGAAAAATTGAGGTACTCATAATGTAGTTTGTACGTATGAAAATTACATATAATTATAAGATTACAATTTTTTATAGAAACATGCATTATTTCGGTAAAAATAGGGAAATACTTGATGATAAATAAAAACTGGAAATGTATTAAGACGAACCATTTGGACCCCGATTATATGCAGCATAGTAGTGTTATAATAAACGTATATATATTGGCTTCGACTTTATTCTGATTGAAAAATACAGAAATAATGATTTTGACTGCGGTGAATTATATTAAATTTCTAAACAACGAAACAGTTTCCTTTTGTTGTTATAAACGTAACCAACAAAGTTAGCCAACCGTACAACTAAACATCATTTATATATATATTTAGGTGTAATTTTTTTATGTCGTTTTTCGACTGGACGAAAAACGTCTTGACCCGTGACATTTTCCAATATAATCGCAGCACAGCTTGTCGAATCGTCTTTAAAACATTTCTTGCCGACTACGACAATTTGGAAAAATACACCGTTATATTATATATCTTATAAGTTAAAACAATTTATACCTACAATCGACACTATAAGTATATTAACGTAGCCGATGGCCGTACGTATTCTTACAGCAACAATTCATTATAATACATATATGATAAAAACTTAGATAATATTTCAGTATTAAAATAATTTTGTAACAATTTGTACTATATTCTTTTTTTGTAGATTTTACAAATGTTACCATCATCGACTATTTTCTTTTTTACGCGCGTAACACGGTCACAACTACACAATATATATATATATATATACATATATATTATCACAGACAGCATTCGCAGAAAATTTTTCCATCAAACCACCGCTAAAAAAAAAAAATGGTCTCGGTGTGGAAAAAGCTGAACAAAGGACGCTAAAATTGTACAGTAACGTCCACAAAGGTCGACCGAAAACGGCTGCCACGTGTACGTACGCATAGACCGCGCACGCGCGCCTAAATGTTAGGTACTCACTCTGATGTGGGTGAGCATGTAATGGACGAGTATCTTCTTCTGCTTTTCGCGCTCCTTCTCGGCGCCAAGCCCAAACTGCAGGCCCATGACCAGCGTTGACATTAACGCGCCCTCCTGCATGTCCCACACCCACTTAGGGAAATAGCACAACATGGCCTGGAAGAACAAGGCGAAACACACCCACTGGTAGTACGTGTAATACTTGGGCGGTTCGCCGTTTTCGGGCCCAACGCCCGGGTGTGCGGCTCCCACGCCCTGTTCCCTGAGGAACGCGTCCGGCATGGTGAACGTGGACGTGATCCAGCAGTACGTGTTTACCGGCCTGGTGGGCAGCCCGTCCACGATGCACTGGATAGGGTTGCCCACGTACTGCGTGGCCGTCACCATTATGGAGCACGCGAGCAGCACGACCGTGGTGAACGTGACGTGCACCCGGAAAACCGTGCCGTCGATTGTCACCGGCTGCCGCTTGACGAACTCCTTGAGCCCGCCCAACAGCTTCAACATGTTTGAGACGCGCGGAGTCTACGACTGTACGAATACTGCAACGACTAGAGTTACGGTGGTGGCGGTGCACCGGCCGCTGTTGTCATGGCACGCCGAGACGACGCACCGCTAGCGGACTTCCGGCGGCAAACGACGGTGATGACGGAAACAAACACGCGGGGTGACGTTAACGAACACGACCGCTACGGTGGCTGGCGAGCGATTTTCAAAATATTATATGGAGCGAGTTTGATACGCGACGGAAACGACAATGACTGCACGACGCGTACACCACAGCTGTCTGCTACTATTACACTGCTACTATACTGACGCCGCCGACTACTGTACGCGTAGCCATCCTCCCCCTTTCGCGGTCGCGGGACGCGACAGGGCCTCCGTGTACACGCGCGCTCGTCCAGTACTACCAACAACAACAACAACAACAATAACAACAACAACTTCGGCGACGGAGTTACGCGTGTTATTATTTTCAAACGGTCAGTTTTATCGTTCGGTCAATAATCTTTTTTCGGGGTTCTTCAATGTGGTTTTTGGGCCCACGAATGGCAGGGGAGCTAAGTGTATATTATTCGATTGCTTAAAATACACCGTTGGTTTTTGGCGGAGACGGTTTAGTCTCCTCGGATGGATATTTGGCGAGGAGAAGAGATGCTTGGCGGTTTAGCCTCTTCGCCAATAAAAAAGATATTCAAAGATCCTTACACTCCGTAATTTAAAATAATAATTGTTTTATTATTTTTTTTTTTTTTTTTTTTAATGTTTATTAATCGCCTCGTTATGTGTTAAGAGATCTGATCTCTACCACCACCGCCAATGATCCAATATCTGCTCTCAGCACATTTTCAATCGCAAATAAAATGTTTATCACGCGTTACACAAATGTTATGTGTGTGTACACGATGTAGGCTCGCCCGTTTACGCACCGTGACTACGATGAGAACCCCTGGATCGGCGTAAAGGGGTCGGTCCCGACGTCGAGACGGGAAACGCGCGCGCCAGTCTTGCCGACCCCAAACAAAGTGATCCCGAACGGGTCGGTTGTATACGCGCGCACATATAAAATAAGTTACCCATATAGGTATAAATAATATATTTATATAACTTCTACGCGATCGGCCGTACGTGAAAATTGTTGGTCTCGATTTCGTTTTCTAACCCACATTCGGCTATTGCGGTAGGAAAACCTCACGACATTCGACGCCAGTGTATCAATAATTTACAACACACAATAGTACAGTGACTTTCACTCGGTCGCCGCTGACGCAGAGACGGAAAAATATAGATGTTTAATGATAATAATAATGATAATAATAATACGTATTTGTACAAAAACGATGAGCCTGAAATGTGGCGGTGTTAGAAGCGAATAGATTCGACGGGCTGGCTGTACGATGTAATTATTATATACAATATTATTACGTATATTATATAGGTACTGTAGGCCGAGAGACGACCCCGAATGATATTTAATCATAGGTTTTGTCGGACTGCGGCGGGAGAACGAAGAGAACATTATACCCACACCCACGCGTGGATACAAACACACACGCAAACACCCACACCCACACACACACACACACACATCATACATTTCTTTTTATATAACATTTATGATAGGTATACAGTGGTTTTTTACACACAATAACACTCCTGCAGTTTTCGAAAACGCACATTCGGTACACTCGAGTGACACAATCGTGTATAAAATATATATTTTAGTCGGACTGATGTGTGGTGTCAATGCTGTTGTATTTATGATATAGGATTCCTGCGGGAAACGTACGATATATGAGAACCGATATCCACCAAGATTCAGTCGATTTCGACTGAACTACAACACGTCATGTACATGACACCGCGTACATTCAAACGAAGGATACCACACGGGCTTCCTAAATGTAAAACTTCGTTTGACGTTTTCAACTAAAATTTTTATTGCTCTGATTCGGCACCCTTTTTGATAATCGGTCATACGCGGGTCATAAGCTGTTCTTCAAACGGCATCATCGGACAGAATGCATATTAAAAGTATTTCAAACACATACACACATACGAGTATACACAGAGTTAAATATTAAGGGAAAAGAGATAGAAGTTAAAACCTCCCCTCCCCCCAAAAAAAGTCTTCGACTTTTTTTTTAGTTGTATAAGTTATGAGATTTTTGTAAAATGAGTCATTTAGTAACTTTTCTTTTACCTACAATAAACCGCTTTGATAAGTTTTTTCAAACTAACTCGAATGTACCTATTGTATTCAACTATTACCAAACTTTTACACATTTTTATAACCCTACTTGTTACCACTGTTACAGTAGATTATTCTTTTTCATATTTTTATCCAATAAAAACATACTTATTAAATCATCAACGTGACCTTTTTATTAAAATTTATGATGTATAAAACAAACTTTCAAAGTGTTCGTGAAGTTTAAAAATAAATGTTTGAATTTGAATTAATTGTATACAAGTATGACGCAATAAAAAATATAGATGCCTATAGATATTTAAATACATTTTTTTTACTGCTATTATTATTCTATTTAATTATAAAAAATATTCTACCATGTGAGAGAGTATTTAAAATTCAATCACCCACCTCCACCGAAATATTTTCTCGATCTCACCACTATGACACACACACACACACACACACACACACACACACACACACACACACACACACA